TTTTTTGGACATTCTCCTTTTTTAGAAAGTCCCCCATTTTCTGAATTTTCCTTAATTTTCCCTGACTTTTTTTCAAGTTTTTAGAAACCCCCCAGTTCCCCCTCATTTTCCTCCCATTTTCCCCTTCATCCCCGCCCTCAATTTCCCCCCATTTCTCCCCCATTCCCTCCCAATTTCCCTTCAAATTTCCCCTCATTCCCCCCCCCCCCATTCCCCCCCATTCCTTCCCAATTTCCCCCTCATCCCCCCCCATTCCCCCTCAATTTTCCCCTCAATTCCCTCCTCAATTTTCCCCCCATTCCCCCCCATCCTCCCCTCCAAATTTCCCCTCATTCCCCCCCCATTTCCCCCCTCCATTTCCTCCCCCATTTTCCCCCTCATTCCCCCCTCATTCCCCCCTCCAAATTTCACCCCATTCCCCCCTCCATTTTCCCCCCACTTCCCCCCTCAATTTCCTCCCTCATTTCCTCCCTCATTCCCCCCAATTCCCTCCTCATTTCCCCCTCCAAATGTCACCCCATTCCCCCCCTCCATTTTCCCCTCATTTTCCCCCTCATCCCCCCCTCCAAATTTCCCCATTTCCCCCCTCATTTTCCCCCCATTTCCCCCTTTAATTTTTCCCTCATTCCCCCTCCCAATTCCCCCCCATTTCCCCCCCACTCATTTTCCCGCATTTTCCCTAAGTAATTTCAGATTAACTGCATTTATATCCCTAAATTTGGTCTATATATTGATTGGGCTACATACCCTTGGTGTCTGGTGCTGCATTGGTGCTGAAAGTGAAGCTGAGTTTGTTCAGTCCCTTGTTTGGTAGGGAGTTGTGTTGGGAAACACTGCGGACACGTTGTGACCCGTTAGAAGGCGTTGTAAATCCCTAAATTTGGTCTATATATTGATTGGGCTACATACCCTTGGTGTCTGGTGCTGCATTGGTGCTGAAAGTGAAGCTGAGTTTGTTCAGTCCCTTGTTTGGTAGGGAGTTGTGTTGGAAAACACTGCGGACACGTTGTGACCCGTTAGAAGGCGTTGTAACACCTCTCAACAGCACGTGCCGTTCTAACACTCTCAACACTGAACTCAATCGTTCCAACGCTTCGAGGCATTGTAATGCTTTCCCTCCGTTTCAATGTGTTGCAACGGCAACAAGGTAGGGTCAACAAAAAGAGACAACTCCTTGCAGGCCAGGATTGAAGCCTACCTTCATTTCATTACATCCCCACACATTATCCTCAATTTTGGTAACTCACATTGCGGAATAGGACCAGAAATATCATTAAATGGTTGGTACAGGTGAGAATTGAACCGAGGAACACTGTGGTCATTATAGTAAGTACATTCATAACCGCTACACTATCATGCACTCTTGGCTTTGCACTGATATGTCGACATAAAGTTGTGTCGATAGGTCTTTTGGGCTAAGTTACTTGATATTCTCAATATGTGTACACCCACTGTGGGATTGGACCATGTCTCATTGTGGCTCTCAATGGTGATGCTATGTGGAGTTAGAATTCGAACGAAGTTGAAGTTCATTTCAGCAGTGGTATTGAGGAGAACATGAAGCACAAACACAAATCAGAACTCAGTGAATGAAGTGGCTTAAATAAGAATGTGCGGTGGACATTGAGGGTGGTGGAACATGGAGCGATAAAGGAAGATTCCTATGCTGAACACTGACAGTTGATGGGGGGTGCACTCTGTTATGAAGTGAGTTACCGAAAAAAATTGCTGCAACGTTCTCTGTGTGCGTCGGAATCGTTGTCCATGCTGTCCCTGAATGACATGTGCAGGTTAGGACTCAGCGCCCGGCCTCCCATATGGAACCCCACTCATTAAAATGACACAGGAAGTGAATGGTGGGGTTGTTGGGGATTTGTCACTTGCTGAAGTGGTCGTTCGCTGTGAGAGTGGTTGGCTGTCAAGTAGGTAGACGTCATTGATGTGAAGCAAGCAAAGGTAATTTGTGGCAATGAATCGTGAAACGTGTGTTTACCTGAGTATGGAGAACTCCCATGTAGCTTGAAAGTACAGGGTATGGAAATGTGAATGTGCAGTTGCTACAGCTGTGGTTAACAGTGAAAGGAAAGCGCATCCATGCATTTGTGAACAGGGATATTTACAGCGCGGCTGAGTATTTACAATTTGATTTTTGCTTTGAGCGTTGGAACGGACTAACAAAGTGTTGGAACAGATTAATAAAGCGTTGGAACGGATCAATAAGGCGTTGAAATGCGTTGAGAGCTCTTAACGCGTTAAAACGAAATTCCGTGTTTTCCGACATGGCTATGGCTAGTCACATGATGCCATAGTCAATGCTTTTAAATTTTAATTTTGATATCGGGTAAATTAAACACTCAGGGAGCTCATATAGATAATAGCCCCCTGTGTGCAAATATAGCTCTATGAGCTCTCAGAGCTTTGACTACTTTTTGGAGCTCTCAGAGAAGGGGACCTGCAATTTCAAAGTACTGAAGCTCTGAGAGCTCTGAGAGCTCTGAGAGCTCTATGAGCTCTATGAGCTCTCAGGCCTCCGCATCCAGGTTTGCTGATGCACTGCATTAATGGCTCTCTCCACCAACACTTGGGCCTTCCGAAACTCGTGCCGCATTTCTTGGTTTTCTTGCACTAATTCGAGGCAAGTCTTGGATCCTGAGTCACGATTGTCTGCGAGATCCCATTTAATTGGGGGTAGATCACTAAGTTGGCCATATGCACGTTCAGGAAGTTTGAATGTTGAACGGAGAGGTGAGGAGGACACAATGGAATTTGTGGATGAAGAAAATGACATAATATGTTCTAGGTCATTGATGGCACGCTTCTTTGCTCGGGCATGAGCTGGGGGAAAGGTAAGAGTCTCATTGGGGCTGATGGTGGTATTCTTGGTGCTGAACATGGTACACCCGGTGCCGGAAGATTGTGGTGATGCGTGGAGATTGTGGGTTGGGATGTTTGTGATTTGAGAGACAGCAAGCAAGGTGCGATTGATAATTGGTCCATCACTTTCATCATCACTAACCTTGTTGTCTGGAACATTACTTCCACCTAGGTACATTCTAACATCCTGCGAGTTGTCCATTGGTGAAGGTGTGCATTCCCATTGGTATTTATGAGACATCAGCTGACTGTGAAAGTGCATAATGCGCTTAACAGGTGAGGCCACAGGGAGAGGAAGATCTCCTTGGGTGGAATGTTCAATACTCGGTGCAAGTTGTTCTGGGTGGATGACACTTGGGTTGACTGGATAGATGCCAGTTACGCAGAAGCTGGTGATAATGTGAGCTGGGGTTATGGTGTCTGTCCATGCTTGACCGAAGACTGATAGAAATGAGGATTTGTTTAGCTTCCTTGGGTAGTTTTGTAAATTAAAAGCGTTGCGCTCCTTTGAGAAGCCCCGCTTTAAGAGGGAGAATATAACAACATCAAGCCCCTGGAGAACGTGTGTTGTGTGTGCTGGATAACATATAACAACAATGTTGTGGTTGCATGCATATGTTATGAAGTCCAGACTGTAATGTGAGTTATGTCCATCCACTACCAGGAGACGGTAGCAGCCAGCAGCCTTGTGTTGTGTAGACTCTTTAAAGGTTTGAAGCCAGTCTAAGCCAATCTCATTGTCTGTCCACCCCTTTTCTGATACAGTGACTCTAGAACACAAAAATATATATGAACACACATTCCATGTAATGAATGGGTAACTTATGCGGCCTGCAAAGGATTATCCTTCAACCACTTTGAATTAACATTCTGCCCCTTAAAAATAACAACCGGAGGCACTGAAGTGCCATCTGCACAGACAGTCACAATCACACTGACATTCTCGCGATTCCCATCGCATTGAATGTGTGCCCTTTTTGTCATCCTGCATGCAAAGACCTTGACCCTTTCCCCAGTCCCAAAAGGGAAGCCACTCTCATCCATAGCATAGACATCCTCATGTCGGAAATTGAAATGATTATACTGAGCTTGTAATAGTTGGAACTAGTGTTGGACAGCTGTTGGATTTACAGCACCACCCCAAGTACTTTCGAGATTGGCACTCCACTTGGGTTGAAGTCGGTCTTTGTTGCATACTAAAAACCCATCAACCCAATTTTTGCCAAGCTTGGTGAGGGATGGGTGCCGTATCTGGGCAACTTCCAATGCATACTCAATTACACGATCTTGGGTTGCTGGGAATCCATGGTCGGACATAAGAAGAAGAAAGTCTACAAGTTGTCAGGGACTCGTCCGGGGTCGAGGGAGCCCAGGTGTAGCATCCAGGGCTGAGAGCCTGGCAGGGGGCGGATTGGGCGTGTGTACTGACAGGTCCTATGCGGGACAGTGGTCCCTGGCCACTTAGACTGAAGTGGAAAGTTGAGAAGAAGGCTACTTCTTCGGTTCCCACTTCAGGTTCGTTTATATACATGTGGCTTAGATCACATGACAAGTGCCACGTCACCCTCACACACAGCCGTAACCACCCGGGTGTCTCCGTGGGAGATCCTGAGGAACGTTTCCTAGGACAAGCACTCAGCCCAGGATTCTCTGCTTCATCTTCTGATGACTCAGAATCAGCACAGAGGGATGCCTCTGAAGCTTTGTGTGCCAAAGAAGTGGAGGGCACTCGCTCCTTCATGGGTGGTACTCGGAAAGACTCGTGAAGGGAACGGCACTCATCACCCAAGAAATATCGCACTACACAGAACACAGGGCACATATGTGGAGGTTGGGCTAGGTGCTTGGAAATGGTCGCAAGCCTAGACTCCAATACCTCCTTCAGATGGCGCCTCCAGTCCATCTGATAGCGACTTCCAGGCTTGAATGCATTAGGTTTGCAGGCCTCTACCAGGTGGAGTCAGGCAAGGACAGCAATGGTGACCCCTTTCCTCTCTATATTATCATCATAATTGTGATACAGATAGCTTCAGGAAGCACTCACGGAGCTTGGTGTTGAACATGGTCATCATCTCTGCATTTTTTCCTTGCTCAGCAATACGGGAGGCCAGTTTGATGGACTGAGTTCAGGCCTTCTGTTCATGTCTCCGCCACCAAGGACTGTCCTCCACCAAAATACCGCAAATGTATATCAACCAGAGGTGGAAGAGTGGTGGCTTTGCTTTCCACCCTGATTGAGTCTTCCCATATTCACGATCCCATACAAGGCTGTTGGCATATTCAACCATGTTTGCACCCTTTGCCAGTTCTGCTGGAATCTTCTCTTCATTGTGTTTGACCCGATGGAAGGGAGCCCATGCAGTGAGGATGAACGCAGCAATGAGGCTGATGTGGAATCTTGCATCCGACATATCATAGCTCTCGGTGACCCAATTTGTGAGCTCCTGAGACATTGGGTCCTTCAAGATGTCTTGCTGGATCCAGTCAAGTGGAAGTTGAGAACGTTTGATGACCCATGTAAGGTCACCAAGCCTTGCATCAATCCAGTGCCATGATGCCTGTGAATTTCCCTCTGTAATCTGGGTGCTGGCAATGGAGGCTGCAAGGCGATCTGGATCAGACATGGTTCCCAGATCAGGTCGTCTTGCATTTCTGCTGGGGTATATCAAGTCCGCCCTTGAATCATACTGTGCCCATTGACTCGACCTCCCTGTGGGAAACATGGTGGAATGTGGATATCAATACATCCATCTTGAATCCATCTGAAAGACAACAGCCTCAATGCAGAACTCCTGTTGCCCTTGTGAGGATGATGTGTGTGGGCAAAGGTCTTGCAATGCCTGGAAGACTTGAGTGCAGACTTCCGCAGCAGACCCTTGTCGAAAGAAGGGTGCTCCAAGGCCCTTCCTTGTTGATGATGATTTTTGAACAAGGTCAGGCAGTGTGACCATTGCATACAAGCCACGGACCCATCAATGCAGGGCAGGTTCTTCAAAATTGAGTGTATGGCTTGAGAGGAGGTGGCAAGTGTGAGAATCTGGCACTCTGTGGCCACTTTAGAATTGTCAAAGGGGTGTGCCCTGGACAAGAGTTCCTTGAGTGCATCAGCTTGGATATTGAGGCGACGTCAGTCATCTCGGTCTGCAGTTGCATAGCTTGCATTCAGGGATTTCTTGATTCCCTTCTCAATTTCATAGAGGGCATCTGTCTCAAGTGTTTCAACCACATAACTGGCTAGTGACTGAAGGATTTTCTCCTCCCTTGGGAGGGAGGTGGGGAGATGTTTGGTGGTGTGAAGACCAAGGTGGATATGCTCAATGAAGCAGGTGGCTTTCATATGCTGTGAGTGAAAGTGAAGGGGTGGGTCAGTACTTGGCAATGGAAATTCATGCATGATTGAAAAAGTGGGTTATTATTGTAGTTCCATTCACGCATGGAATGACAACAACTTCTCTGTGGTGAATTTTTAGAAAAGCAGTTGTACTTCCATGTGAGCACAGAACTACAACAATAATTTCCCTACAGAGACTTAAGAGAAAGGTCGCACTCCCATGCGAGCACAGAACTATGACATTAATTTCCTCCAGAGACTTAAGAGAAAGGTCGTACTCCCATGCACACACAGAAGAATGACTATCCCAAGGATTAAACAAATAAACACTCACATCATATGTGGCCTGAGAGTAGTTGTACAGAACAACACGCTTTGATGCAAAGCGTGGGACTCCAGCAGCATCTTTCGGCCATCTGGATGCATCGACATCAATCTTTTCCATTCGTTCAAGGTGGATCCCCACCATGTCACTCAGACATGGGAATCCAGTTTCCTTGATTCCGACAGAAAGCAAAAGAGGGTCCATCACATATGTGGACAGCACCCTTCCTGCACCACAGAACCCAAAGCTACCAGCTCGTTCCAGTGCTGAAAGCAGCTCTCGCAGCAGCAAGTTTGCTGGACATCCCTCTTTCTTGCATCGGACTTCGGATTGGTAGATGTGATCTATGGCCCAGAAGAGAGGGTATGTGGTCCAAAGATATGTCCGCTGAAGGACCTAAATCATCCCCATTCCCACCATATTAGACATGTCAAAGATGATCATGACCAACACATACCTCAGGTTTGAAGATGACCAAATTGCGCCTGAGTTTGTCTACCAATTCCGGATCAACCCATGTGTCCACAAGGGGGGTGAGAATCTTCTCGAAAATAGCTCTGGAGATCAACCATCAATACAAAGTACAAAACTTCCAATATATCATTCTGACCTTCCAGTCCGTTTCTCCTGTGCAATTCCAGAAAAGTTGATGGTCCAATAATTCTCCAGTCAGAGATCAGTTGGTGGTCGCAAGTCAGGATCATTGGATGTGAGTTTGTGCTTCATTCGGTCGAATGGCATCCCCCGCTCCACATAGGAGGACATCTCTTCAGCCTTTGTGCATTCTGTCAGTTGGGCATATTGTCCAGCAAGAGCAGCAGTTATGGCTCCATGCATGGTTTCAGCTGCTCCTGACCTCCGTGCAATCCAATGTTGCAACTCATTGTATCCCTGGAAAAACACACCCTTTAGGGGCTCCACAGCATGCTGATGAAGGAGGTCCTCAACCTCCTGGGTGTCAAGTTCGTCACCACCAAGCAGTTGGTCATCATCAGATTCTTGGTTTGAGGGTGCATAGTCACTATCGTTATTGTCATCATCACTGTCTTCTCCAATGGGGTCATGGCTTTGTCTTTGCCTTGTTTGAGAAAGCAATTCACTGTTGATTCCCTGTGCAGCCCTGTGGAATTCAGGGAGGACGGTGTTTGCTTGCACATGCCCAAAGCGTGTCATGAATGCTTGTGAGTAGACAGAGATGGACACATTTCCAGTCCGGTTGCCATGATGGAAGTGGTCGCTATCTCATACCTCCATTAAATAACAACAAAAAACCTCCTGGAGGTGCCATAGAGACTCTTTGGGACCAACTATCTAAGCAGGAGGAGAGTGGTCGGCCCTATGAAAGCAAGGAGGATTGGGAACTTTGTTATTGGTTGAGCATGGAGGGTGTTTCACAAGGAGGGATTAATCGCTTCCGAAAGCTTAAATGGGTGCGTGAGCCTAACATTCCAGATAAATGATCGCTACCAGCTGTGGGATTAGGTGACAGACCATCTGCATCCACCAAGCTGGAAGGATGCAGCTTCAATGTACGATTGGGTGAAGATGATGCCAGGCCCACCTTCATGGAGGTCCAATACGATGATCCTCAAAGAAGCGCCCAATGAGCCACAAACACTCTACTGGCGTGATCCCATGGAATGCATGCACTTCCTATTCCAGAATCCAGACTTTGATGGGGGTATTGCCTATGCACCCTCATGGGTGTATTGTTTGGATGGAACACGGGTTTATTCAGAGATGATGACAGCAAACGAGTGGCACTTTCAGCAAGTAACTCACATCATTCCAGTTAGAGTCCTCAAGCTCACAGTGATGTTTAGTGATTTATTCATGGTGAGATGGATGCCATACATTTCAGGTATCATTGGTGGCATGGTGGAAATCTACATGGATGACTGTCGAGCTACTCGCTACATTCCTGGTTTGCATTGGGGCGATCGAGATGTGAGAGTCAACATCCTTGAAGCTAATATCTCAAAAGGAAAGTTTAGCTTGGGTTTAGTGCTTGTAGACTTGGGGACACAGCTTCGCAGGAAGTACTGCTAGCTTGACCCAGTGTCAGTTTTAGGTTGAGTTAGTTGGGACTGGGGCCTCAGTGAGTCCAAAACCCCAGGTGCCCTTGCAATGGGTGGAAGGGTGGATGGTCCGATGATAATAGTCAGTGGCACTAGGGCAGGTTGGTGGAGTTGTGACAGCTCTTTGTGAACTTTCCGTAACTGGCACCCCCCATGGGAAGATTCTGGGCGAGCTGCTCACCCAGAAAGTTCCCACAGTTGTGGCTGTGATGGTTTCTGGGCGAGTCGCTCGCCCAGCACTTTCCCACAGGTCTGCACGTTCATGTCAGGGATCAGCAACGACCCTGGACCCTATGCTGGCTGTGCATATGCGCGTGGGAAGTATGCCGGTAATTCCCATCTACTCCGCTTACCTAAGCCCCGGTGACCCGGATCATCTCCGGCATTGTTCTGGAACATTCTATGATCACGTGATTCTATCGGCAATCCATTTGGTTTCCTTATTGCCGGACTCTACATGTATATAGCTGACCCTAAGATGGGGACATCCCTTTCCCCCGGCTTTAATCACAACTAGGTTATTGGAGCATCCTGCGTGAGCATGCGCATCCCCTGACAGTTCACAAATGCATGGATGCGCTTTCCTTTCACTGTCAACCATGGCTGTAGCAACTGTACATTCATATTTCACTTCCTCAGAGTGCATGATAGTGTAGCAGTTATTACTATTCTACAATGTGAGAGTGTTGGAACGGCAGGTGCCATTGAGAGGCTCTCAACATGTTACAACGCTTGGGTAGTTTCCAACAAGGACCATTTGGGGGCTCCTCAAAATACTCATCCTAGGCATCAGGAAAGCCTGGGAACTGTACAGTTCTTGGCTCTTTGCAGACTTCCCATAACAGGCATCTCCCGTGGGAAGGTTCTGGGCGAGTTGCTTGCCCAGAAAGTTCCCATGGGTCCATGTGCATGTGGGGTCAAGGGCCGTACCCTAACATAGTGGTTATGTGTAGTGCCACGTACTGCATGCAGCAAGAGCAGGGAATACAGTGTCTGTGAGAATAAAAGCAAGTGGACACCTTCACTTGCTAGCCATGAGAAAAAAAGCAAGTGAACATCTTCACTTGCTGCCGTGAGAAAAAAAGCAAGTGGACATCTCCACTTGCTAGCCATGAAAAAAAAAGCAAGTGGATATCCTCACTTGCTTAAATCCTCCTATGCACCTGCCTTTTCCATTCAATCCTACTATGACTGTAGTAGAGACACTAAGATGGTGTCAGAGACCAGGTTGAGACAAGGGAAAGTCTCCGTGGCGGAGGGCTTTGGCCTCAGCGACTTATGCCAGGAGCGCTGTGCCAAGTAACACGTCCGTGCCCTAACTTACTAACTGGCAACTAGAACTGAAAGGGGGTAAACTCTAGTCGATTTTATTACTGAAGTGTAACCTATGTACAAGTTGGATATATATATGGTTACAGCGAAGACGGGTCCGCAAATGGCGGAGCCGAACGGAGCGGAGCTAACGGGGTTAAACATTAGCTGACTGAATATTGCCGACGAGTCGGGTTGCGGGGTTAACGGAAAGGCAGGCAATAACCCAGAAACGGAAAGGAGGGATAGGCCCGAAGGCGGGCTCTGCAGGGCAGGCAAGAGTATTGCCCAATGGAGGCGGGAGTGCGCTAGCGGATGTTGGAGCTGTCCGGAAGTCTTCGGGGCTCCGTACTTAGGGAGGCGTAGGTAATAAATTGAAAGGAGGGGGTGGTGACCATCAAGGGGTACCGAGGGGATTGCGGAATACGGAAGCTCTGAGGTTAGTGAAGAAGGAGCGGAGGTAGACCGGAGGGATTGGAGGTACCGGAAGTCGTTGGCTGGGGATGGATATGACAGATGGCACTGACATCCTACTATGCACCAGCCTTTTCCATTCCATCCTACTATGACAATAGTGCAAGTGGACATCTTCACTTGCTAGCCATGAGAAAAAAAGCAAGTGAACATCTTCACTTGCTGCCGTGAGAAAAAAAAGCAAGTGGATATCTTCACTTGCTTGCCGTGAGAAAAAAGCAAGTGGACATCATCACTTGCTAGCTGTCAGGGCACAGCCCCTGACCCCACACACCCTCAGGTACCCTTCCCCCATTTTCTCCTATTTTTCCCTTCACTGTTCCACAATCCCGCATGCATGCAGACTGTGGGAACATTCTGGGCGAGCAGCTCGCCCAGAAAGTTCCCATGGGGGGTGCCAATTATGGAAAGTCGGCAAAGAGCCGAAAACTGTATAGTTCCCGGCTCCCATTTGTAGCGGCTTCACAGGAGGTTGAGAAGGTTACCCTTCATTTCCTGTGTGTGAGAAAAAAAGCAAGTGAACATCGTCACTTGCTGCCATGAGGAAAAAGCAAGTGGACATCTTCACTTGCTTGCTGTGAGATTGCTAGCCATGAGAAAAAAAGCAAGTGAACATCGTCACTTGCTGCTGTGAGAAAAAAAGCAAGTGGACATCCTCACTTGCTAGCGGTGAGGAAAAAATCCTACTATGCCATTCAATCCTACTATGACGGTAGTCAAGCCACTTGACTTTCAGAACCAATTCAGTCCTTTCCATTCAATCCTACTATGCCATGGGAATTTTAAAATCAATTCAGATCATAGTAGACCTACTATGACGGTAGTAGATCCCTTGCTGTGCCAGTGCTGTTGGCCATCACCCTGCTAGTATCTGTGTCATACTTGCTGTATGATTGCCCTGTGTTTGAGGAGGCTCATTGACGATAAGCACCGCTGTGCTGTTGTCATCTAGTCATCTAGACCTGTTTATGTGCTGTAATAGCGCTGTCACTGTGGGCCGTACTCACTGTACACTATAGGCACTTTGAGCAAGGGGAAGTATTACTGTGTTGCTCAAGCGCTGTCTGTGCCATTCTCTGCACTGTCCCCCCTGCCATTTCCACTGTCCACTGTCTGTGTCAGCACTGTCACTCCGTTGTTCCACTGTCCCTCTTGCCATTCCCCCCTCGTTATTGAGTCGCTGTACCTGCATCATATTAGAACACCAACTTTGTTTACATCGGGAAGTTTTGTGGCGGTTATTCGTAGCAGTTATTCTGGGGCGCTTTGAGGCATTGGGGGCGTTTTGCCCTCCTTATTCAACTTAAAACTCCCTTTGTACGATGACGTTGCCACTCAGGGAATGTCGCGTATATAAGAGGGGATTTCTTAGACTTTTCTCCCTCAGATCTCTTGTCAGAGTCTGAGGTGAGAACAATCTCTAATAATCTTCTTTATAATTCATGTATAACTCTTGTTGCAGTCTAACGCGACATAGGTATTTACAATATAGATCTCTTGTCAGAGTCTGAGTCTAACGCGACATAGACTAATTCTAATACGTCACCTGTGCCTGTTGACACCACAGTGGAGAAAGTGAGATGTATGGATGTTGGGTTGAGGGGAAGGGTTGATGTAGCAACCCGATGTTGTCAAAGTAGGAAAGGCCAGGACGTTGTAACAGGGAAATCCATCCCAATGTCACACAGGCTCACAGGGGGGACAGTGATCTCCTTCTCAATCTCACCAAAGGTCCTTGTGGTACGGTGCTGTATAGTTGTGGCTGTGCAGTCACGGGACTACCCCAACTACACTCACCAATGTATATATAATATATATAATAAAGTCAGGTTGAATGTATGGTGTTATTCAGTTTTTGTATTGTCCTATTCAGTTTAATTAACGTAAGCAATGCAGTTCTCTGAGCCGTGGGAGCTGTGTCAATGTTAACGATTGTACTAGATGACCTATCTTGGTGTAATAATAAAAGATGGAGAGGACGTTTGAGCGATTCCATTGCAAAAGACCCCATGAAAAACGGTTGAGAATTGAGGGAGATACGAGTGGTGGCCCATCCCAGCGCGAGCTGTGTGCGTGGGAAACAGTGTCCACGGCCTCATACAGGCTGTTTGACGATGCACGCTAATAATATTAAATAAGGAAGCTGTTTATACAAGCTCATTGAAAAAAACCCGACGAAAAACGAATGAGATTTGACAGAGATATGCATGTACATGTCTTTTGTGTGTGAAAAAATGTGAAAAAACGTTCCACCGCCTCATAGACCCTCATTTGAGATGTACGACAATAATATAAAATAATAAGGACGTT